CACAATCTTAAACTCAACACATAATCGGCTCATTGGCAAGTGGGTGTGAGATGCCTTGCGCCCTAGCCAAACCCCAAAGTTGTAGCTCCTCATTACTGATAGTGCATCTAGGCTCCCTTGTGGATTTTAGTGGTTGAATGATAAAATAATTAAAAGACTAATGAGTTGATGAGATTGGATATATCTCGTTGCAAATGATGATGTTAAATTCATGCCATATCTCAAATTGAAAAAAAAGACAAGCAAATTGGTAAAGCAAAAGAGACAAAGGAAAATGTGTATGATTTGGTCTTTGGTCTTTGGTCTCAATGGTGGCTTGCTTCCATAAATGAGAATATATAGTTCATTTGTATTGACCAAGATTAAAGTATGAGTCTATAAATGAAGAAAGGGCAACCAAGGTTGGCAATGACAAAATAAGGCATGGACAGGTGCATATTAATTAGTCTTGCGTTTGAGGCTTGTTTATATTGTGGGATATGAGAATTGGAAAGACAAAATTGATCAAGATGGCAAGTATATATGAAAAGAGATAAAGAGACATGATCATTAGCAACATATGAGTTGGTTTCACATGTATGACCTGCCAATTAAATCAAAAGTATTGACGATGGATCTCATATTGGTCAAAATAAGAAATGGATTCAAATGAAGGGCATATTGTTGATACAAGCAAGGTTTTACTTGAGGATGTCTAGATAAGGTGAAGGTAATAAGGAAATTGCTTCGAGAAACTATGCGAAGGTGAAAGACAAGTGATGGCTTGGCAGCCATGGTACCATGGCTAAGGTGAAGAAGCAAGTACTTGTGTCGATCTAAGGGACTAATCAAGCAATGATGAGTTATGTAATGCCAAGTATTCAATCAATGTTGGATTAAAAGTTAAAGTGACTTGAAACTATGTATTTGTTGGTGATCCTTACACCTTATAGACCAACAGAAGGTTGTTGTTCTTGTTAGTAAAAATAATATATTTTCGTTTCCTCCTTATTTACACCAACTTTCAAAAAAGTTTGCAACACTTAGAGGTGGAACAATACCAAAAACAACAAATAAGCCCAGCCAAATAGCCTTCGCCAGAAAACAATCAAAGAAAGGGTGAGCCTGTCTACTAGAGTTAGCGGTCTCAAATCATCTAGGCTTCAGCAGGCGAGAAGCACCATAGAGTCGAATTTCTTCCGGCTGGCCTTCTTCTGGTTGCTTGCGGTTACACTGCCATTGATGATAGGTCTCAAATAGTTCTCTTTAGTTACTAGAGGCACAACCAGTGATGATATTTGGTACCACTCCTAGATTTGAAGGGACACAGGTAGATCAATAGTTGAAACATGACATATCTGATCCCATTCTTCCAATTCTAATGCTGCGGTGGTTTCAAATAACAGATTAAGGGCGTCACATAATGGATGGAGAGTTGTTAAGTTCTCAAGAGATGATCCGGGCGTTTTTTTCATACAAATTATTGAGTTAAATGCATTGGTGGTCCATCAACTTGCGCTTTAGTTTCACTTAGGTCCATCAACTGTGAAAGTGGGTTTTTGGGACCATAATCTTTGTTAGTGGCGCATTCCTAGCCCATACCCCTCGCCGCACACATGCATGCATGTGCATACATGATGCATCGCGTCGGGCGGCGGCAATCTTCGCGACACCACACACGACGTGGTGCGCGCGCGCTACTCGAACGCCGCCGCCGCAGTACCGCTACTCCGGCCGTCGACACCAAAGAACGACGCGCGTGGATCCCTACGCCGCTGCGCTGGCTGCCCCACGTCGTCCGTGCCGCCCTTCGACCCGGCCGCGTCCACCTCGTGACCGACCCGTGCCCTGCGGTTTCGGCGGCTTTTGCTTGTGCGCAGCGCCTAACGCGGCAGCGTCTTGTGGCGAACTCACGGCTTCAACCTCACCTACACCGACTCCTCGCTGTAGGCGGGGCTGTCGTAGGACTCCCTCGCCGTCCGTGCTCCACGCGCCGTCCAAGACCTGCGTCTATGTCACCAACTGCGCCGCGCCCATCACTGACCGCACCGCTCCGCTGCAGCTCACAACCAACGGCATCTCCATCGAGGACCCCAACGGCACAACCATTTGGTCCACGCCGTCGTTCGAGACTCCCGTGGCTGCTCTCCGGCTCGATGACCACGGCAACCTTGCGCCCATGCATGGCCTGCGCTTGGCCACAGCCGGCCTTGGCCTGGCCACGGAGCTCGTCCTGTGAAGGCGTTCGAGTGAGGGACGCCGCGCCGGAGCATGAGCCAGAACAGCGCGAGCGCCTGCTCGGACGAGGGTGCGCGCGAGGGAGAGGAGAGGGTCATAGAGCTGCTGGTGGAGGCTGGGGAAACACTGCTCGGCGACCATGTCTGCACGGAGCTCGGCTATGGCCAGCCATGGTGAGCGGCTGCGCGGCAGTAGGGCGAGCGAGAGCGCTGGGAGAGCGAGGGAGGCCAGAGGAAGCGAGCATGAGTGAGGAGGGTGCCGGTCTCTGTATTCATGCACATGGGGGGCGAGGTGGCAAGCGAGGGCAGCACAGAGGAGCCACGCGGCGTCGCTCTCCTACCTGTGGTCGGCCACGACGCCATTCATTTCTCAATCCTGAAGGAAGTAACCAATACTATCGCAAAAATACACGGAAACATCAATCTTTGTTCCCTCTTAACTCCGAATACATTTAGTTTTGGCACAAGCGGTAGTAACAAATGTTGTAGAGCTACGCGAGATCTCCAACTTTGCTTAAAGTGCCAAAGTCTAATTTGGCCTGGTTGCAGAGATACAAGGTTCCAAAGTGGGGTTCATGTAGCTGACTCGTTCACCTCGGACGCCGGCCGGCCTCGCTCTCGACCGCTAGCTGGCTTGGCCATCGCGTCGCGCGGCCATGTCGTCGTCGAAGCGGTGGACGTCCGCCTCCGGCACAGAGCTGCCGAACCAGCCACAACAACATCCCCCGTCGCCGTCTCGATCGCTTTCGACGCTCGCCATCCTCCTCCACCGGCAACAAGAGTGGCAAGAGCAAGGCCTCGCCGCACCACCGCTCTCCCTTGTCTCTCGCGCGCCACCGCCGGCATTTGTTCACATCCGTGGCTACGCCGCGGACCACCTCGTCGAGAGATGCGCGCATACGGGCTCTCTCCCGACAACAAGCAGCTTCTGAAGAAGCTCCAGCGCAACCGCCGACGCGCGACGCGGAGGCCAGGAAGATCGGGAAGCCGCCGGGGACGAAAGGGCGGCGCCGACCACGCGTTTCGCCGCTCAATGCGCTTCTCCCGCCCACGAGGCTCGCGGGCGTGACGCTCACGCCGCCGCAGCGCGCGCCGTCGAGACCTGGCGCGCGAGAAGTCGTCCTCATGGCGCCCACCGTTGATGTTGTCGTTTCTCCCTCGTCTTCGCCACGATAGGGCGCCGCCGAAGCCTCGAGGTCTTTGCAGCTCTAGAACAACTTCGCCACCGGACGGTTGCCGAGTCCTCGGGCGTGAGTGGGCGGCTCGTCCGTGTCGACGTGTCGCCACACGCTTCGACTTCAGCCATCCCGGCCCCCTCGCCACCGCTCGTCCGAGCGCCGCAATGTGAAGAAGCGAGTGGCCTGTTGACGCCCGCGTAGCAGTTGGGCGTGATGCACTCCGAGGAGACGACTAGCGCCAGCGTCGGGGTGCCGCGGGGACTGGGACCGGACCGCGCGTGCTTGGTGCTCCGGGCGAGGTCCACGGCTACGAGCACGGCGCGCGAGTAGAAGCCGATGCCGTCACCGTGGGTGCGCGAGCAGGCGCGCCGCGGCCCCACAGGCGCGCGGGCGAGCCGCCACTGCGGGCATGCGAGGAGGTGCCGTCGCCGCCGCTGTGGGCGCGGGCAAGCTGCTGCCGCGGCCACACAGGCGTCACTCAACCTCAGCGGGAACGCATTCGCGGGGGAGTTCCCCGCCGCGGCGGTGTTCCAGCTCCGGATGCATGCACATGCATGCGTGTGTGTGCGGCGTCCCCGAGGTGCCACGTCGGTTAAAAAATTGAAACGGTATGGGCTAGGAATGCGCCACTAACAAAGATTATGGACCCAAAAACCCACTTTCAGAGTTGATGGACCTAAGTGAAACTAGAGCACAAGTTGATAGACCACTCATGCATTTAACTCTAAATTATTTATCCAATTGTTCTGCCTTGCTGTCTGTAGAATGCAGACTCGGTCTTGTCATCCAAGGTTTCTTCTAAGCCAAATTAATGGCTCTAATCTAGACATGAGTCGTTTGATTCACTGATTCGGTCTGTTTTGCTCATTTTAGTACCCTCTTTTGTAGGGATGGACCGGATGGTCATTCTCAGATGTCATGCCAGTGATGGACAGAAATTAGAGAAAGAAGGTGAATGCTGTCATCCACAGGTGTGGCAAAGTAGAAGTGACGATGATGCTGGTGCTGTGTTTCGGTGTTTGACAGTCAGTACTCAGCGTCTCCTCTTTTTTTTTTTGCCCCCTTTGGCTACATTGCATTATCGATTCCCTTTTTTTTGCCCCCTTTGGCTACATTGCATTATCGATTCCTTATTCGTATATTGATCCACAAAAGTGTTAAATAAATATGTGGCCCGCTATTACAATTATTACAATTACAACGACAGCACCAACCAAGCTATATATATGTCGTACAAATGAATACATGCAGTGTGGAGTAACTTACAGTTGCTCATCATGGTATGAATCGACCCACCCCTAACTGTTGTGGTACAAAAAAGAATTAACTGTGTGATTAATGACAAATAGTACACACTATTGGATCCTATATGGAGTTTTACTCAGCTTATTTATTTTGATAATTGTAAACCTTCTTGCATTGTATCAGAGTACTTGTTCATCTTCCATGTGTACTGAACGGTGAAGCGCCTCTGCCTTGTTGGCCGAGACCACAGCACATACATTTGAGCTCTGACTGATGCCCTTGAGCAGCAGATTTACTCATCATCATCCATCCAGGTTAAGGCTACTTACTTTTTATAGTTTATACCTGGATGATCCTCTCGTCACTGCTTTCCTGCCCAAAGCTTTTTCTGGCAGATGAGGATCTTGTCCTTGTCAGCCTTGTTCTCGGTGTTATGCTTCTCGCAGCTCCATCTCATTCCTTTGGCAATGGGTGCCACAGAATCAAGGAAGTAGGTGCTCTCCCGGATTATGGCGTAACCCGTGGGACGAAGGATACGGTCCATCTCAAGGAGTACGAACTTCATCTCGCACCTGCAATTGCAGTTAGTGATGCTATTTCTCTTGAATCAAACGGAAAGAGGATCTTTCTTACCTGTGAGACTCTGCCGTGAACAGGCCATCAAGATGCAATAGATCATAGGTGCGTGGATATGTCGAGAACGCCTCACACCTGCAGGTAGAAATCATATATCATCCGCGCATTCTGAACTATGAATCCAACCAATCAAAGAGGCCGCCCGGCCGGATTCGTTACCAGTCGTGGTTGACGCCGATGAGTCCTCTGTCGTAGACGACGCCGAGGGAGTTTGGCCCGTAGGAGGAGACGACGTTCATGACCCAGACGGGGTCCTTGATGAGGCTGCCTGCGAAGCCTCCGTACACGGTGTTCATGTCCATGACGTTCCTGATCTTGTCGCTCCCCAGCGCCGGCAGCAGCGTCTTGTAGTGCTTGGCCCTGAGCTTCCACCTGGCGTCGTCCTGCTTGAAGGCGGCGGCGCTGCTGCCCGGGACGACGTTGATGCGCTCCGGCGCGACGGTGAGCCTCTGGGGCCACTTGGGCGTGGCGTTGAGCCCCAGCTTCTTGTACTTGGCGCTGGGGGGCGTGACGCAGGAGCGCATGGGCACGTACCAGGCGGCGTCGGGGTCGACGCTGTCGTCGCACTTGGCGGGCGTGGTGATCGGGGTGAGCTTGTCGTAGCAGGCGGTGGCGTCGGTGGACTTCTGCCACACGGCGATGTCGCCCTTCACGTTGTAGAGCTTGAAGCACATGCTGGCCAGCGTCTTCTTGAGCCTGTCGAAGTCGGCCTTCTGCGCCTGCGCGGTGGTGTTCCAGCCGTGCCACCGGTTCTCGTAGTTGATGGGCGGGCCGGAGAGCACCCAGAATCCCCCGGGCGGAGGACGCGGTGGATCTCCAGGAGGTAGAGGCCGCCGAACTCGGTCCAGGGGATGAGGCACCGGGAGCAGTGCGCCATGTCGAAGGCGGCGGACGGGAACGGCAGGCGCTGCGTGGAGATGATGCCGAGGATGGCCGGGATGCCGCGCTCCAGCGCGAACTGCACCTGGGCCTCGTGGTTGTCCCGGGGCGCCAGCGACACGGTGAGGATGCCCCGGCCCAGCAGGTCGCCGCCCCAGCTGGCGACGCCGCAGCCGGTGTCGAGCGCGGTGCGGACGGTGCCGTCGCGCATGCCCGGGACCAGGTCCTGCATGAGGTCCACGTACGCGCCGACGCCGTTGGGGAACATGGTGCCGCCGCCGGGGAAGCGGAAGCGGTCGCCTTCCTTGACGAGCCAGTGCTGGTTGGACTTCTGGCTGTTGATCCAGTCGTAGGGGACGTTCCGGTACCAGCACTGGTCCTTGCTCTTGGGCCACCGGATGGGCGGCTTGTACCCCTTGGGCGGCGGCACGAGGCACTGCTGCCGGTCGGGAGGCGGCGGGCAGTGCCGCTCCATGAAGCTCAGGCGGTAGTTGCCGTACCTCCGCCAGCGCTTGGGGTCGGTGCAGGGGGTGTAGTCCTGCAGGTCGGCGGGGCACTCGGGGAACGCCACCACGGCGGCCGTGGACGCTGGCCGAGCTTGGTCGTCGTCGGAGGAATGGCGGGCCGTGGTGCCGGCGCCGAGGGTGACGAGAGCCGTCGGCGCCGGCTGGATGGCGTCCAGGAGGCCGAGCCCCGTGCTGTAGATGCCGCCGAGGTAGAAGGAGAAGGCGCAGAGCACGATGACGACAAGCGCCACCGGCACCGCCCTGGACCCTGCGCCGGCGCCGCCCGCCCTCTCGGGCTTATCCTCCTTGCTGTACTTCATGGCGCCGCCGCCCACGCCACGCTACTCTCTCCGTCGTCGAGCACTGCAACTGCAACACGAGGACAAATTAGACTTTACGAAAGAAAGAAAAAGGCGCAGGGACGGACATCCGAGATGCATGCAAATATGATATGCAATCCAACCAAAGAGAAGATCTGAAGATGATGAGACGAGGTGAGCTGGTGGCGTTGACGCGTTTACCTTTGGATGGGATGGCAGTGGAGTGGACACTGGAGTGAACTGGTACTAGTAGCTGGACTGGAGAGGAGGAGGAGGACCGAGGACGACCTGGCACCGACGGCAGCGGCCAGCGGGAGTCGTGCCTATATAGGAGTAGGAGCAGAGTATTAGCCGCGCCGCGCTGGAACAGCACAGTGGGTGGATGTCGGCCGGCACGGCCGTACCGCAGATCTTGTCGTTCGTTCCTTCACCTTTTGTTTAATCAGCGACCAGACGAGGAAGAAGAGGAGGAGGACGAGGCTGTGGGCAGCGCGCGATCCGCGAATCCGCGATGCAATCAAAATCAGACCGATACTGTCTGTATTGCACTGCCAATGAGAGCGATCAAGGAGGAATGGCGCCGCTAGCTGCGACGGAGGCGGCGCGGTTGCCCTGGAAGGAAGACGGACGGGAGTAGTGGAGTAACAAACCTAGCGGAAACGAAGGGATAGTAACCGAAGGAGGTGATTCGGCGCTGATTCGATCGGTCAGTAGCGAGCGAGAGGTTTTAAAGCCAGGAAACAGAGAGGGACTGGAAGGGAAGAAATGGTGGTGGCGGCGAGCGAAACGACGGGCGGCAGGCAGTGGTCATCGGCCGGACTGCCTGGACTGGACGCTAGTACGTACAGTGCTACTAGTACTATTTTACTGATTGGATTGGCTGGTTGTTGGTTCGGCGCGCGGGCACTCCTCCCACAGCCCGCAATTGCTATTGCTAGTGCCCTTGCCCCCGATGGGCGAGTCCACAATCGCAGGTGCGTGCGACTTGGCTGGCCGAGGCCGACGCGTCGGTTCTTCCATTCAGACCGGGTTCGCGTTTTCACACTGCAGTCGTGGTTTCAGCAAATCAGCAGTAAATGACCCGACGCGGGGACGCCTTCCCACCTCCGCCCGAATATGGGTCCATCCATGCCACGGTGAAAAGGGCGGCGCGCTTTTTTGGGAAAGAAAACCGGCGCATCCCTTTGCCATTGGTGGAGTTTTCTCGTACCCGCGTCCGCAACCTTCTCATCCGCCCAAGTACCGATTGAGGGCACGTTTGGTTTTAATACTTATAAGTTAAAAAGTAGAATAAGTGATTTATTTTGTCAAACACCATCAACTTATAAGTCACCCCTGCTTATAAGTTTTAAGTTGGTTCACCTAAAACTTATAAAGCTAATTTGTTAGCTAAGTTTCTAACTTATGGTTGTTAACCGTCTAGCGGGTTATAACTATTTTAGATTATTTTAAGTCACCTGACTTATGAAAACCAAACAGGGCCTTATTAGAATATAGTATTTGGATGGATACAGCTAATTGTTAGCTACTCCTAAATAAGTAAGCTAATTTGTTAGCTAAGTTTCTAACTAGTTGTTAACCGTCTAGCGGGTCTCTAACTAATTCAGATTAATTTTTAGTCTCAGCTACTAACTTGTTTTAGTTGATTAACATCATGTTCGCTTGGTCGTTTTTATGGCTTATAAGTCGGTTAATGTTTTTTTGTTGTGAAAGAAAAACACTATATCATAGCTGATAAGCATGACTGATACGATCAAGCGAACATAGTGTAGATCCTTAGTTCTTATTTGATGACTGGTCCAAGGTCCGAGATCCAAGGAAAACTTTATGGCCTGTTTTTGGGAAAAATACCAAATTTGCACTTGTAAGAGAAAAATAGATCATTCATTAGTTCTTTGTTCAAAACAAGCTTAACATGGCCTATATCGGGGAACCATTTTTAAAACCTGGCTCAGGGCACTCACAATGTAGAAACTATGATAGTTTTTATATATATTAATTGCACTGCCATGTTGGCAATTTGCTGATGTGGCAAGTGATTTAACGAGGAGTGAGAATAAAAATTCAAGAAACTAAGTTTAACTAAGAAACTGGATCTTTACGGATATCGATGGACAAAAAACTGCTCGTAGCCTATTGAGAGAGCAAACATGGTTTCTACCACTACTTATGTCATGTACTGTAGAAAATCTTGCACTGGAAAGGATAATTTCTTGGTACGATATTCTATACTATAGAAACTGTTAATAGTTTCTTGTATTAGGAGTGCCCTCACCGCCTAATTCTGGGACCAGATCACGGGCCATTTACTGCTGATTTGCTGCATCCCGACGAGTCCAGCAAAGCACCAGCGGCTAGCGTCGAAACGAAACGTTCCTCGGGCGCGTCCGCCGCACATGCTATTCGGTTGCTGTCCTGTCCCCTTTTTTAGCCTTTTCTCTACTTTCGCTAGACTAGAGTACGCCCTTCCGTTTGGTCCTTGCTATTGCTATACTCCTACAGTACACTAGTGCTTTAGGAATTATTTCCTCGTAAACGCCAGTATTTTTGCTATACCTCCTACAGATTTTTATTCATGATAGTGCTTTAGTAAACAAACAGTACTGGTCTACTGGAGTTAGGGTAGTTTGGTACCGGTACACTGCCAGTCCATCAGTGCAGGGTGCCTGCCACTGCCCCGGGTTCGGCCGGTTGCACTACACTAGTACACTGATGGGAGTGGTGGGAGTGGGAGTGAGTGTGGCGACTGGCTGACTGCTCAATCAGCTTCAACGTTTCGTAGTAGCCACTGGTGCCAATCATGGTGGGGATAAGTGAGTGCGGCACCAACTGACGCGGCGACTTCCTTTGACTTTGATTTGACGCGAAGTTCACAAGTGCTCGTCCTATATAATCTACTCCTACGGATTAATAATCTAAATATACAATTACAAATGCAGATGTACACTAGCTAATCAATGCACGGTACAGCTAAGGACATCTAATCTTGTGCAACCATTGCTCGACTCCATTAGGTCTTCACGTACAGTCCGTTACAGTTTAGCAGGGTGAATTGTCTGCTTTTTAATTTCTGCTCAACACTATCGTGACTTTCATAAACAAAACATTGATCATATTTAGTGCCAGCCGCGCACCCTAGGTGAGTCTCAACGAGAGTTTCCAGGTTCAACCGCCTCATGCAATATTCGTCAGACGTTAGAGCCAAAGTGGGAACCTTCTCTGCACTCGAAGCAGAAGCCCTTTTACTTGGCAAATTCTCTGCACCATACAGTGATCAACTATTTCATCGGCAACCAAACGCTGGTAACCTTCCTCAGTCTGGAGCCAACTCAAGCAAGTGCCACATTGGAGACCTACTTCCATAGTACCATTGCAGGAAGAGTTCAAATCCCTCAACTTAGAGGCTGCCTACCGGACCTACAAAAATCCCAAGAAGCCAGAACCCCACGGCTCAGTAGATCACACCCTAGCAAATCAAGCCCAAAAAATGTAGGCCTTGTTTGGAATGGAGGATTTCCAAAAAAAAAGCAAAGGAATGGATTTTTTAGGAAAAGTTTTATAACTTGTTGTTTGGAACAAAGGAAGTTTGTATTCACCCAAAGAAAAAATTCCCTCAATGTTATCTCATGTAAAACCTGGAACTTTGCTTCTTGGGCACGTGTGGCATTCCTGTTTTTTCGCAATCCAAACACCCCCAAAGTTTATATTTCTGCGTTTTGAAATTCTACCGAAGCTTAGAACTTTGCTTCTTGGGCACATGTCACATTCCTGTGTTTTTTGCAATCCAAACACTCTAAAGTTTATATTTTTGTGTTTTGAAATTCTATAGTTTTCTAGTTTTTGCTCTATTCTTTTCCTGTTTTTCTTTCATCTTTTGTTTTGCATTTCTAGGTTTCAAATAGGCAATCCTGTACTGCACCATACTAGCGGTCCTATACAACCGTCAATCTTCTAAGGCTTCGTTTGGCAGGGTTGCTCTATACAGGCTTCAGAAGCCGTTTGGAGCTGTTTTGTGCCAAACGAGGCCTAATATATCTAGGTTCCTTTAGACCTACTCCTCCATCCCTAAATGCCTGTCGTTTTTGCTTTCCGAGAAACAACTTTGATTAAATATATATTAAAAAATATTAATATTTATGATACATAATTAATATCATTAGATAGATATTTGAGTCTAGTTTTTTAATAAATTTATTTTGAGATAGAAATGTTACACGCATTTTCTATAAATCGAGTTAAAGTTATCGGCACGCAAATCGTGGCGACAAACATTTAGGGACAGATGGAGTACTTCATTTATGTTGTTCTTAGTTTAATATAAATTTTCCTATAAAAATTTGTTTATTCATCAACTAAATCATAACATCACATAACCATTCAGCGTTGTGACTATCTATAAAGTAGTGAGTTAAGGCTATCCATAAAGTGGTAAGTTAAAACTATATATTTTTTTCTCGAATACGCAAAAGGTCTACGTATTTTTGTATCAAGAAGAAGAAGTTTGTGGTACACAATGCGTCATTGGCGCACTAGGAGGGATAGAGATAATTTAGTTTCAGCTCAGCCCTCCTAGCAAAACGAAACTATTTTTCATCAACTAAAACATATAAAACTGATGTGGCATTTCTAGAAATAAACACACACACCAGTAAGATTAGCCAAAGGTTCCCATTCACTTGACATAATTTGGCTGGCAGACTGTGTTCATGCATGCATGGATATGTCGGTCCACCAGGACCATTTATCGATCGACCGGACAATGTACTGCGTGTACGTGACAACTGACAACAACCGATACTTCAATTGATTGAGGTCCTCTCTATTGCTTTTGCTTATGTGAAGACAAAACATGGCACATGCGTGCATATATAATATAATAATGACGAGCTAAAGAGAGATGGAGTATCTAGTCCCATCCGTGACTTTTATTCTTTCTTGTTAATTTAGAACATGGAGATTGTACTCCATCTAATTGGTAATGGTTTGGCGCATTTGATCAA